TGTGTGTATGGATTGGGATAACAGTTGTATAAGCCCCTAATAAAATGTTAAAAAAAAAAAAAAAGAAGCAATATGAAAACATCTTAAAAAAAAAAAGAAAGAAAGAAAGATGCTCAGCATAATTAGCCATTAGTAAGATATAAAGCAAAATCATAATACAGTAGCATTTCACCCTCATTAGAGTAGAAATGACAAAAAACAAGGATTAATGAATTTGTAGAGAAACTGGAACTTTCATCCATTAGATGCAATCACTTAGAAAAGTTTATCAGTGTCTCCAAAAAATGGACATAGATTTATCATGTGGACAGCAATCCCAGTTCTAGGTACAGATCCAGAAGGGAAGGCAAGCATGGCAACAGAAAACCCACACACAAGCATGTATTGCAGCACTTTTCACAATACCCATGATGGAAAGAACTGAAATGTCCATCAACAGATATATGGGTAAACAAAATGTATACATATATACAATGAAAGTTTATGCAAACAGAAAACAAAATGATGCCAAAACATGGCTGAGCTTTGAAAATGTTATATTAAGCAAAACAAGTCAATTGCAAAAGGACTATTACTATAGGTTATCACTTACATGAAATGAATATATAGAGGCAAAAGATTTGTAACAGTTCCCAAAGATGGAAGGGGACACAAGGGGAGTTTTTGTTGAGGGAAAACACAGCAGCACTGAAATAATTTTAATGGTAGAAGAATATTTTGGAAAAATATAACACCAGTGGTAGAAGAATGTGAAAATGTAATCAATGTCAATGAATTATACAAGTGAAAATTGTGCTTGCAAATATCTTATATTTGTTTTCACACGTTGGAAAAAAAACAATTGAAAAATGACTACGTTTTAAGAACGATCAGATGGGAACGTTAAAATAACTATGACTAAAAAGTTCTACTACACAAGAAAGAAAAATTGCATGAACAGATGAATTTCAACAGAGATGTGAAAAGTATGTTGTTTTTGCTGTTGTTGTTAGATATCACTGAGTTGGCTCCAACCCATAGCGGCCCTATGCACGACAGAATGAAACGCTGCATGGACCTGGGTCAATCTCACTATTGTTCCCATGCCTGAACCCATTAATGCAGCCACTGTGTCAATCCATCTCTTTGAGGGTCTTCATCTCTTTCACTGCCCCTCCACTTTACCAAGCTTGATGTCATTCTCCAAAAGCTAGTCTCTCTTGGTAACATGCCCAAAGAACGTAAGAAAAAGTCTTGCCATCCTTGCTTCTAAGGAGCACTCTGGCCCTACATCTTCCAAAACTTACCAGTTTGTCCTTTTAGCAGTCCATGGTACTTTCAATATTCTTCCCCAATACTGTAATACAGATGCATCTATTTCTTCTTCGGTCTTTCTTATTTAATGTCCAACTTTTGTAAGCATATAATGCAATCGAGAATGCCATGGCTTGGGTCAGGTACACCTTCGTCTTCAAAGAAGCCCTCCTGTTTTTCAATAGAATAAAGAGGTCTTGTGCAGCAGATTTACTCAATGCATTATGTCTTTTTATCTCTTGGCTGCTGCTTCCATGAGCATTCACTGTGGATCAAAGTAAGATGCAATCTTTGACAACTTCAATCTTTTCTCCAATGATCATGATGTTACCTATTGGTTCTGTTATATTTTGGTCTTCTTTACACTGAGTCTTAATCCATACTGAAGGCTACAATCCTTGAACTTCACTTCATCAGCAAGTGCTTCAATTCCTCCTCACTTTCAGCAAACAAGGTTGTGTCATCTGCATATCACAGGTTGTTAAAAAGCCTTCCTACAATCCTGATGACACCTTCTTTATATAATCCGGTCTCTGATGATTTGTTCAGCACACAGATGGAACAAGTGTGACGATAGGATACAGCCCTTGTGTATATCTTTCCTGGTTTTATTTTTTTTTGATACACTGATTAACATAAGGTACATCTGAACTCATTCAGGTTAACAAGAATCAACTTCAACTGTAATAGAAAGTATCTAAGTTCATGTAGCTCATCCATCTCTTTATAAAATGAATGAGTCTCATGGAGACCATTTCTGAGCCTTGGACCTCAAAACTTGAATCAGTCCCAGCCCCAGTCTCTCAACTGTGGAGTCCCAAGAGATCACCAAAGAGCCCTGGGGATATGGTGGCTAAGTGTTTGGCTGCCACCTAAAAAGTTGAGTGTTCAAACCCACCAGTCTCTCCATGAGAGAAAGATAAAACAGCCGGTTTCTGAAAAGACGGCCTTGGAAATCCTTGGAAATCAGTTCCATTCTGTCCTGTAAAGTCTCTATGGGTCAGAATTGACTTGAAGGCAATGGGTTGATTTAAGTGATGACCCAGGGATTCTGTGAGAACCTCAGAAGCTACCTTATCCAACTCTCAGTTGAGGTCTCAAAGTGCCCCAAAAAAGCCATGGGCCAACTCCAGTAGGTTCAGCAACTTCTCCAACATTACCCGTGAGTATCCTGGATGATCATATTCTTTGAAGTAAGAGGGAAAGACTTAACTATCATCTAACTTGGCAACTATGGCAAGTATAGGGATTCCTGTACTATTGTCCTTATTTCAAAAGATTGGGGGCGGAAATCTTATATTTGTCAGAAAGAAAGGCTAGACTGTAATTTTAGGAACCCTGGTGGCACAGTGGTTACGGGGCGCTGGGCTGCTAATCAAAAGGTCAGCAATTTGAAACCACCAGCTACTCTGAGAAAGATGGGGCTTTCAACTTCTATAAAC